TTCAGCATGGTATTCGTCTCTAACTAGCTAACTGGAAAAGGCAAAATAAAAGCTAGCATTTCCGGAAGTAGCCAAAAAAAAAGACAGCTTTAGAAAATGGCATAAAGTGACATTGTAATGACTGTAAAAGTGACTCATTTACACTGACAGCCCAGGAAATGGAAGCACACACACAAAACAAAAAGGCAAAGGATGTAAGTAAATAAAGGAATGAATAGCAGGAGATAGGACGTGCATAGTCAGAGGCTGAATTTAGTACAGCCTAAAATTAAAAAGGACTAATTAGACAGGATTATAGCACCTCTGATATAAAAGTAGACCTTTTCCAGTTCACTATACTTCACAGGCATTATATTTGCCCTATAGTATCTTGTACTACCTACTAGGACTTGTATGACAGAGATTTAATTAGACTGTACCGGTAGCATTGTCTCCCAGCTAACAGAGTCAGTGAGTTCCCTTAAAAAGTTATTTTATTACATGTCCTATTTTGCAGCTGTTTGAAGCATCATGTTTTCTCATTTACTTTGGAGTAAGTATGAAGAATGAAGTATGAATTCTATCACCTCTGCTCTGATGTAAACTGAACAAAGAATGATGATACATGCCCTAGTTTTATAGGTCCCAGAGTCAGTGCTGGTCTCTCATTCAAACTGACTTCCACCAGAGCAAAGCCTTGCAGCATCACAGAAAATTAATAAAAAGGAAGGCAGTCTACTGTGGATCATCAGCACACAAACATTACTGATTGAAAGCACGAGCTATGGAAATTCCCACACGCCCCCAACTTATCTCCCTCCTGCACCGTGCAGTGGCAGCCCTAAGTTTGTATCAGTCCTGAGACCAGAGATTCCATCAGATTCCTCCAAGAACTTCAAAATTCCTTCTTGTTAGGAAAGAGGATTTTGGCTGGTTACCTACCTTTCATCATTTAACATAAATGTTGACTTGCTGCTGCACTATTCCAGTCTCTTGAATTCCCAAAGGAAAATGGGGAAGTGAAGTGAAAATTGGGAAGTGAAAACTTAGAAAAACAAACCCACTTTGGTTCTGTTTGCATTAAGGTTGTAAATGGTGCTTTGCAAACACAACTGATAAACCAATTGAAAAGAAAACTTTGATGTTTTGAAATTGAAACAAAAAAAAAAACCAAACACCAAAATTAATAAGCCTACCACAAGAACACCCTTCTTATTTCACATAACTATAGAACTCTCTTGCTTTTTCACTTTGTCAACTCCTTTCACTTGTGCTTTAAAACTGTTTTCCATTTTCCCAACTTAGCTCCAGGACCTATTTATTCCATTCTCGTAGTCAGCTCACACCTGGCACCAGGTACTTTTGCCATCCTGTCTCCACTCAACTTCTCTTGTGACAGCTCCAGACCCTAATTTCCTCCTCCAGTGAGTTCTCCTTCTCACCTGGCTCAGTCTGGGCCTCATAGCCATGACATCCATCACCCAAGAGCTGGGAAGTGCTCTGGAAGGCAGAGAGATGGTGAGAGTATGCCTTGGCAAAAGTAACCTGGAAGTAATTTTCCTAACTCCCTGATCGTGCAGCGCAGAGCACCTGATGCAACAGTCCAAGTGAATTATAAACTCTGAAATTAAGAGTGATTTTCAAAAATAGCTGCACTCTTCGCAGGAACACTGAATTTGCCAACATCAAATCATATAACTACTTGTGATACCTTTATGGAGAATGACGAACGATTTTGTAGCTAGTTCTACTAGCCCTAGGGAAAAAAATCCAAAATAAAACACATGGCACAGGACCCAACATTATGAGCTTATCATAAAGAACATACTGAGAACATTATTTGAATTTCAGTTTCCACCTCACAGAATACTGATTCAAATGGAAATAAAGAATTAAGCCAGTGATTTATTTAGATGTGGCAACTGCATCTATCTGACATGCCACGTCCCAGTCTGAGGTAAATCTCTACTCCACATATACAGCCTGTTTTCATTGTAATGTAGCTTTCAACAGGGAAAGGAAATATTCTTTCACTCTTACCAAAATATTTTTTAAATGTGGACTAAACCAAATTACTAGTTTACATAATTTCATAAATCTTAAAAAACAAAACACCAAACCCACCATACTCAAACCTGTACTACTTGGACAGAAACGATTTGTTTGTAGCAAAAATATTGGTCTCCTCTAGCTTGTTTTTTTCCAGCAGTTTCGACTGGAAAAGCATAGTGCATGTTTTCAAATCTCAGCTGTGCTTACTGATAAATAGTCACATATTTGAGTCAGTTAACTTACCACAACCTTCTTTTCTAATGGAGAGTCATTTCAGTGCTGTATGTTTATTATCAATCCAGTTGTGAGTAATTTCACATTGTACACACTACAGAAATGCAACTACTCAATTTCACATACTCTTGTGACTGATTTCGACCACATGTTATTATTAACCTTTTGTAACCTCATCATCACATAGATTACATTTTGCACACATACCAAAAATCAATACCACTTTCCTTGCTTTGTCAAGCAAGTTTAGCTCACCCCATCTATCTTCCCAGCTGGAGACACCATGTAAATTTTTACTGCAATGGGTGTAGGAGCTTTGGATCATCACACAGGTCAGAAATGCTGCAATTGTCATCAGTGGGGACTCCCCCAGATGCAGACTGCTTCAGATTATCACCCTACAAATACTTAAAACCAACAGAAAAAAACACTGCCATAGAAAAGAAAGGGTCACATTCCCTTCATCTCCCACCATAGTATAGCTAGTGCTGCTTATTTTGGTGGCAGTGTCAGCTTCTGTGGACCTAGAGCATTCATCGGATGAGTCTCAGAGCACAGAAAACTTCAGCCTCATCTTTCTACACTATCTTTTCTCTGACTGATGAAAGCATAAATCATTTCCCAGGACCTCTTTATGTTAAAGATTTTACGAATATAGAGGAAAAAGGTTGCTTCTAGGCAAAAGTAGAAAATGTTTACAGAAAATGCTGATACACTTCTGCAGAGCTGTGATGTTCATAAAAACTGTACCAGATAAGTATTTCCTTCATATAACACTTGTATTTCTAATTTACTTGCTGCAATTGCTATTTTCAATATAATTGTTTTAAAATCAGTTCTTTTGGAATGCTCTATTTTCTGGAAGAAGGTTGAACTTTCTTGTGTCCAGATCATATCCTGGGTCAACATGTTCAAATGCCTAGTTTTACTTTTTCACTAAAAAGTAAATATCAAATTAACCAGTTAACTTCAGACATATACTCAGTTATGAACGGCACACATCAGGGGAGATGGCAACAATATTAAAGATGGAAAATGAACAGCTGTATTAACAGCAACAGGAAATAATTAAGGAAACCAAACAAAGGAGTTACAAGGGAAAATTAAAAGTCTATTTTGCTATGAAATAACTATGAGAGGAAAGGAATTATACAATTCCCCATATGGTTTTGCTTCATTCTGTCCCCAGGGGCACTCTGTCCCCATTGTAAAGTAAAAACAGTTTCATAAGAGAAACACACAGAAGTAGGTAATTTGTCCCTGTTTTTTAAGACAGCTCTCCCTGGTTTCAGCATGAAGAACAGCTTTAGATATAAAGATCCCATCTTCAGTCCTTACCAAAACATCTATCCCGTTCTGGTTTCTTTAGGAACTATCAGATTCTCCTAGTTTTTAGAGAGAAAATATGACTGTTCATAATGTAGCCCAAACAAGGAGAAATAGAAAGTACTGGAATTAGACAGATTTTAAACAGTTTGCTCCAAAATTGTGAGATACGAGAGTCACGTAATTCTTGAGGCTCCTAAGCTCTACTGATGTTCTATTTTTTTATTTTAACATGTCTTTTCTTGTTCCTGTACACATGCTCTGACTCCCTCTGGCAGACATTCTCGGAACATACTGAATGCACACCAACAAAACCATGATAGTTACAAAGCACTTCAAGCAGCTACCACTTTATTTTAAAATGTAGAAGAGAGTTATTGCCAGAATTACCTTATTAAAGTAAGTGTAGGTGCTAAGGCAGTTTCCCAGAATGTGAAAGATGGTGTCAATGGCTCTTTTTTTCCAGAGGAGATTTAATATTCATGTTTCCAGAAACTATCCTAATCCCACTGACATATCCGTGAGAGTAATCTGTGTTCTCTGCCCTAAAAGTAATTAAAGATCCACAGAGTCAGACAAATAGCATAAAGGATATCGGTGCCCTTGTACTGGAGAACAGACAATCAGTGCCCTTGTACTGGAGAACAGACAATCTGAATGTTAGTATCTGCTCCTGTTTATGTACTTAACTTGGAAGGGTTCTTGGAGAAACATATAAACAGTCCTTGAAGCTAGATCTGGAATCCAGTAACTCTCCTTCTCTGACTGTAGGTCTGGCCTAGCTAGAGGTGAGATTTCAAACTCACTAAAGGCGCTGGACATGTCCTCTGAAAGCCTATTAGGAAGCTTGTTCTTTTATACCTTTGCCTTTTGTCGTAGATAGACTATATCTTGGGCCACTTTTCCCCAGTCTCTTAAAATTTCCTCTCTGACAGAAACTCTGCCTCCTTTTTGTACACTCTCCCTCATTGCCCTTTAGATCTGACACTAATCCCTAAAATAGTTATCAGCAATTTATAAGTTTTTACCATTAGCCTTTCAAAATTAACTCTCTGATGATATTAAGGATAGACAAATTCAATGCCATTAATTGGTCTATCTGTCCTGGGTCAAGAAGATCATAAGACTTTAGCTTACAGTTATTCTGCATGTAGAATATTAGCTAGATGAGTTTTCATTAACAATATTAGTAACTGTGGGCACTGCACTAAAAAGGCTAAATGCACTTTAAAGGTTGAAATGCATTAAATCTCCAGATTGCAAACCATGCAATGCACAATGTAAGGATAAACATGAAGATTACTGAAAGTCAATTTAAAACACACTTGGAGATTCTCCAGCATAAAAAGTTATAAAAATGTTAGAGGTATGGATTTATCAACTAATTGCCCACACGGCTACTGTTTAACGAACCTTTTCATGTGGCACATATTTGACAGAAGAAAAGGCCAGAGAAGAATGTGTTTTAATCATCTTTAGCTCCTCAATATTCCTCTAATTGTGTGCATTACATACAAAGTAAACTTGATTACAATTCTCAAATTCAGCTTAAGCGATAATCCAAATTAATTTTCTGTGGATACAGACACTTGCTACCTTCATAGACAATCACAAACTCTCTCCTAGTAGAATTAAAGAATGAGCAGAAGATTAAAAAGGGAAAAGGCTGACAATTTTTCCCAAGTAGGTGGCTAGCAATTCCTACAGCATGCCTTTGCTGTTCATATCTATACTGACAGCTGGACTTCCTGTCTTTGCGTCTGTCCATAAGACATTCAGGAAGGAAGGTTTATATCTTTACATGTTTTCCATGAAGTACTTGGATGACTAATTTCTGGAGTACTGAGTCACATTGACCTTTCACATACTCCCCCCATCCAAATTGTTATTGTTCTCCCTACTCCACTCTTCCCATTTTTACATGCCTTTGCCTCATTTCAATTGTATTTAGATTTTCTAAAACATACTTATTTAAATTTTAGCTAACTTTTTTTTTTTTTAAATACAGGCTCGTATCACTGGCTAGCATCACTGTTTTTCATTAGACAGTTACTGAAAATGAAGTTTATGTCAATTCTTCCAAGTAAAATACTACAAAAATCACCAATAATATTCTGGGGTTTTGGAGGGGGTGGTGGTGGTCCCCTCCTCATTGTTCAAGTGTTTTTAGTTTCTTGAGAATTTCAATATACATTGTGAGTGAAATTGGCTTATAGTAGCATCAGTTTAATTTGTTTCTCTTAAAATGTTCTTGTACTTCTCAAAATATTAATTTCTTTAAACATTACATGCCTTAGAAGGATTTGAAATAGCCTGGCAGACCACTCTGCCTGAATCAAGCCTCCCTTGGAGTTACTGTAGTGGAGAAATTGTTTTAAGAAACAAGAGCTTTTTTTCAAACTCCAGCTATCGATCAAAACTAACATATTCACCTTTAGGATGGCTTTCTTTCAAAGGACTGCCTTGGAGCTCAAAATACTTTAGTCTGACATTCTGACAACTAAAGATTATTTGTATTAGTAATCATAAAAGTATATTCATTGTCCTCCTGTTTCAAACTTACAGAGAAAGAGAGTCTCCGTTTTCACAGCACTCAGGACTTTGAATCTAAACATGACTACTGCATCTACCACATTCTAAAGAAAACATAACAGTAAATACTCCTTTCTGCCAGCTAAAGAAAAAAAAAAAGATCTCACATAAAACTGAAAGCCTGTTACAAAGTACTCACCAAACTCCTAGCAACAGTTCTTGAAGTAAGAAAGAAAGAATTTCTGAATCAGTGCTGAATATGATCCTCCCCTACCAATTCGCGTTGAAGGGGTGTGGTGTAAAGCTACAAAGGCAGGATTGCAACCTGATCTTCCTAGAGCAGGCTCCTGCCTGTGGATTAATCAGCTACCCGTTGTTTTTGGTTTTTGTAGAGCACATGGGTTCACTCTGGGTAGAAGGCAGATATCTGCAGCAGCAGCAGGGACGCTTCCTGTTTAAAGCTTTCAGCTCTGCCTGCAATTTAGAACAGCTGTTTTCTAAACAGCACTAGCTAACATGAAATGCACTTTTAAAGATGAGAGACAGTCTGTAGGATATCCTATTCATTGTACCTTGCAGGCTTTCATATGGCTCATGAGGATGCCATCTTCACTGCCTATTTTAGAGAGATATGTTGTAGTTTACTGTTGTTTTTTGTTTGTCTGTTTGTTTTTAAATAAAGCCATGCTCTTCACTCTAGATCCAGGCTGCATTCATCACAGTATCTGGAGCCATACTACAAAGGCTGTTCTGCCTTCAGCTAGAACATACCATCTATTTACAAATCACGCTAGTATGCACTAAAACTAGAGTTAAACATCATTAAGAGTACCATGGCTGAAGACAGGGACGTGGACTCTAGTTGTAAGACTGAGACCTTGTAACTTGTGGATGTAGAGACAGACGACCAGAATCCTAGTCCTGGACACAGGATGAGAATTTCCCAGATAATGAATTAAACAGCAACAGAGACAGAATTAACAGCTGAAGAACAGTAACTTACACAGTTAGTAGCTGTAACTAATTGCAATTATTTCAGGGCAAAGACAAACAGGTGAGTTAAATCACTTTCCTTGAAGATTTACATTCACCTGTTCATCACCATCCTGAACCAGATTGGAAGTTTTTCCATAGTCAGTTAACAGGTTAACTATCTCTGACACAAACAGAAGTACTCCTGGCAGCTTCTTAGATCTCTTGCCTGTTGTGCCTGACTGTAAGAATGTCTGTAATACTTTTCAGGACAAAGTCAGTAGTCAGCTGAGTCTACTGACTATTAACTGGGTCAATAATCAAATGGATTATCTCTCCTGAAATGGACTAGAAGCACTCACAAAGTAAAGGGGCAGCATAAAGGCTAGGGGTGAGAGTCTACTATGCAGTTACAAATTACCAACTCCTAGCTCAGATAAAGCGAGAAGCAACCCAGCTCAGGAGAAGTCGGTTAAATGGAAATGGTCAGTCTGTCATTTGCGGGACACCAAGCCACTGAAAAACATGTTTAGGGGGCCCATGTGTTAAGAATTGGTATCTAGAAATGCTATCCACAAATTTCTTCAAGGGTCACAAGTAAGACAGCCCAGAACAGATGTACTAAAACGACAACACAATTTAAAGAAATCTCAGTTTGTACATTTATAATAGAAACAAAACCAACTAGATTTCAAAAAAATAAAATACTTCTTCATTTTGCCTTTCTTAAAATGTGTCTACGTGGATAAACAGAGATAGTTTCAAATTTGCTCCACTCTATAAGGTATTTACAGAGGAGCTGCTTTATTTTCAGTCATACTGGATGCTGAATGGTCTGAATTTATCAGTCCATGAAAACATATTCTTAATCTAGGGACTCAACCTAGTCAAAACTTCAAGTGGGCTTTTTTGGTTTTAATGAGAAATATATATCTTTTAAAAATGAACATTCAAAAAAGAATTTTCAAAGCTTGTGTCATAATGTGTTAGCATCATTCCTTCTTTTCCCACAAAATCTCACTCAAGTCACTCAGATTTGATGTGCAAACTAATAAAGTAATTCTGAAAGAAACACTCCACACAGACATGAAAAACAAGAAAATGCTACAGTCTTAAAACACATTTTGTCTTCTTATGGTCAAATAAATTGAGAATCACATATGAAGAAAAGTATTTTGGGGGACATAGAATGAAACCCCTTATTTTGATTAAAAGTTAGATTAAGAAATCTGTGGTAAATAATAAAACAGGATGAGAGTAAAAATACCGGCATGTGTATGAAGAGCACATATCCAAAAGAAAAATTCAAAGGAAGCAGTATTTCATTTTAAGATTAATATTTCTGCTTTCTTTTTCCTGTTAATGTCTCTCCAGTTCCCATGTGCAGTCCTCCTAATTTAGTTGTCAGGAGGGTCTCTGGACTCCTTTGCATTGTAACTATAGCATAAAAAGCTTCAGCTGAAACTCGAATCGGACCTTGAAGATGGAAACAAAACTCTTTTGAGCCTTTAATGGGATCAAAGAATTCCATTCAGCTATGACCTTGCCTAGACAATCACACTAACCTCTGGCTTGCCCAGAAACCTGCTGATAGCTTAAGACAGTTGTCAGGAGGTCCACAGTGGAAAAAGTCCCTACAATTCTAAAAAACATTGTTTATTTTTAGAAGTAGCTTTCAAGATCAGCAAGATGAAATCTGTGAGCTCTAAAACTAGTCACTGAAAAGCACTTTTCTAAGGTCCTATGGGAGTCTAGAAATCTCTCAAAAAGTAAAACTTGCAAATCACAGAACTCACTGACTTAGCTTCTCCTTAAGAGATCACTTAACTGTGACTATTTTTATTAAGATTTGTTACTGTTCTGAAGAACCCAAGAATCCTTACTTAGGGAATTTCTAACCTTGGAGTATGTGATGTTATCATTATGTTCTCTCTTCATATTTTATTTTATTTTATTTTTTTACAGCATGTGCTACATGAATCAATTGCCAATACAAAGATTACAATTTGGAAGATCACCATTTCACACGACTTCTGAGGTCAATCCACAGAGTTAAGCTCTGGCCAGTTATGCAATAGTAGGAACTGTACATGTTATTGAATCAGTGTGAGAAAAGACCTTTTACAGTACATATATCAGCAGGCTAGCTACCAAATTCTGCTTGTTTTCCACAGATTACACTTGCATGCAGCAGGGCCGCTACAAGCCTAATATTGCAGCCCTCTTTACAAGTTGCTTTCTGCTGGCCTGTTTTGAAATTACTTGGGCTTGACAGTCAAAGGAAAGTCCAAAGAGCGTTTATATGAT